ATAATATAAAATATAGATGCTTCAAAATGCATAAATGTTATATATGTTATATGTATGATATTTCGTGCAGTTATCATTTAACCAATCAGATCACAGCTTTCTTATTAATGTGGTTATTGGATTCGATCTTGTGATCTTGTGATCAGAAATAGATGATCTATACCTTAATAGAAACTATTTTGGTAAGCTGATTCGAATGATGATGGTTTCATCAAATTCAGTCTAATGGTTCAAGAGTTATGATTGTTTTTGTAGGTTAATAGTATATTAACTAAATAAAAAAAAGTCTAGTTAAGATCCTATTAATATAATAATACAGTTTATAGTTTATCAAACTTAATTTTTAAAAAATTTTTAGAAATTGAATTTATTTAACTTTATAAAGTTTTTTTTTAATTATTTTATATTTGAATTCAAATATGTTTATAAGCTTAAACTAACCTTGAACTAATCTTATAACAGTGTTTGTGTCTGGTTTAAGTTTAAAAACTATAAGTTTAAGATTAAGTTTGGGTTTAAAATTGATAAAATTTACTGTTCAAGTTCAAACTGAACTGAATCTGAACTAAATCTAGAAATCTTATATGTATTACATATTAGTTTGCTATTAATTTAAGTAATTGTTTGATAATTTTTGATTATGACCCATACTTTATATTAAACTTTATAATACTATTATAAAAATTAAAAATAAATAATTTATTACAACTAGTCTTATATTAAAAATTAAATTTATTAATATTTTAACATTAAATAGAATTATTCTAGATATTAGTAAATATATATATTGCATGTACTGTATTTGCAATATTTTACAAAATTTAATTCAACCTAGCAATTTAAAATAAATTATAAAGGATAAATCTAAAGCACTGTACAAGTATAAAATAGTACTTGCAAGCATTTTTTTAAAAAATAAATTGAAATATAATTCAAATTAGATATTCTAAATTAACATGCATTTTAATATAACTAATAATTTTACCTAATTATAATAATAGTTATCTAAACATATTAGAGGTCTTACTATAATTTAAACATTTAAAATAAGCTACTGTATTTAACTTATAAATATTATTTATTGGCATTATTTCATAAACTATAAACAATTCTATATAAATTTATCTAAGAAAATACAGTGGCAATTATAAATAATGGAGTAAAAAAAAAAATGGTTCAATCGTATTATTTCACACAATTCAGATTGAATTCTCAATTTTTTTTTTTATTTTATTCATAAATGGTATTCTTTTTCAATGTTAGAATGTTAGAAATGGTCATTATTCCCAATGCAAAGATAATTGTGCATGTATCACAAAATAGGTGATGCATTATTTTTGATCATTTTTGACAAAGATCAAAACACATGATCTGTGAAATGTAAATACATATAAAAGGAAATTTCATTATTAATTATTGCATCTTGTGCAATATTAGAATTGATTAATAATTAAACAAAAAAAAAAGAGGCATATGACTTTTGCTCAAAGAGCCCATATATTACTTTCGCTTCAGAAAGGATACACTACAAGGCAGATAGGTCAGGCCCATAATGTTTCTTCTTCCACAGTCTCATGAATAAGTCAAAAGTGGTCAAAACACCACACGCTTAAAGATTTTGGAAAGGTTGGTCACCCACCAAAAGTGGGTGAACCAACCCAAAGAAGGATTGTAAATTTAGTTATCTTCCATTGGTGCTCTAATGCTGTGCAAGTGCGATCCTACTTGAAAGCAAATGAAAACCTTGAAATTTTTGAGGCTATTATTCGTCATATACTCCGTAGCCATGGTTTAGTATCAGCGGTTATGAGAAAAAAACTCTACCTTAGTAAATCTTGTCAAAAAGAGCAGTACGAATTTGCAAAAAAATATGAAAATTGGACAGTCGAAGACTGGTCAAAGGTAATTTGGTCTGACGAGTCAAAGTTTCAAATTTTTGGATCAGATGAGAAGCAGTACTATTGGAAGCATCCTGAGAAGCCATTAAATCGGTTCTATATTAAATCTACAGTAAAGTATGGGGTGGCTCAGTTATGATTTGGGCCTGTTTTACCTTTCGCAACATTGGTGGCTTTTGCAAAATTGATGACACAATAAATGCTGAATTATACCGACAAATACTTCACGAAGATTTTTTAGGAACTGTTAGAGATCACAGTTTTGATGTTAAGAATATTATTTTTCAACAAGATGGTGCAACTGTACATACAGCGACTTTGACCAAACATCTGCTTAGAAGGAATAAGGTTAAGTTTTTTGATTGGCCTCCCTAATCACCCAACCTTAACCCTATCGAACACTTGTGGATTGAGGTAGACCGACATCTTAGGAACCTTCCCAGTCAAATTTCAAGTAAACAAGACCTTTGGGAAAAGATCCAGAAGATTTGGCAGGAAATCGATCTTGAAACCTGCATGGACCTAATTAAGTCAATGCCAACATGTATTCATGATGTAATTAGAGCTTGGGGTGATTATACCCGATGGTAAAGATGGAAATCAATTAAAATAAAAAATTTTTTTTTGATTTTTGATACAAATTTTTTTTTTTGTATTTTGCAGTGGTGCTGCTGTAAAAAACGAGCAAAAATAATGCAGCATGTCAATTTAAATAAAGCTCGTGCCCATAAAAAATTCAGTTCATTTTTTTTTTTTTTAATTTTATTAGTGAAAATGATACTATTTGCGAATTTAATAAAAAAAAAAATCGAGAATTCAACCCGAATTGCATGAAATAATACGATCGAACCATTTTTTTTTTTTTGCTCCATTATTTATGATTGCCACTGTACTATAAATTTTCTTACAATAAATTTATTAGGTTTAATCAATAAATGTTAAAAATTAGCCTTTAAAATGTTTAACAATTAAATTTTTATAAAATTTATTAAAACATTTAAATTGTCATATTTTCGCGTAATAACGTCCACGAGTGTTATTTCGAATTTTGGCCCGAATTAATCTTAATTTAGCCCAAAAGTCGAAATTATACTCCTGCGCGAGAATATGGTAAATTATATGAGTGCTGTCAGGGAAAACCTGCCATCGACTTTCAATTTTATCTTGTACTGGACGCAATCAACAATAAATCAAATTGATTGAGTCCAGCACAAAATAAAATTGAAAGCCCGATGACAGGTTTTCTTTTGACTGCACTCATATTTATTAAAAATTTGTGGTTAGGGAGCGATTTTAAACTACGATTATGATTAGATATAAAGGCCCAATTTTAGTTAGGATTAGGTTAGCATTACACGTATTTATTACGAAAGTTAAAAATACACTGACCAGAGTTATAAAGTGTGCATTATTTCGGAACACGCACGGGTGTTATTTCAAAGCCAACTATACTATTTTCAGAGTGCACGATTTTCGGAATAACGCCATGCCCGTTATTTCGAGAATTTAAGGTATATTACATACTTAATGTATGGGTTTAAAAGATTTTATAATAACTGACTTCGCAATAATTTTAAACAAAAAATTTTTTGTAAATGTGCATATGGTTGCACCATTCTTTTTATTATATTTAGAAACCTAGCACAAGTTAAGACTTTATAAAATTAAATAATTATCAGCAATTAAAAATAAGAATATAAGCACAGAATATAACGAACGATAAGGGTGAAAGAGGAATAAAGAAATGAGATATCGCAATTATATGTGTATTTATGTCATTGCTCATTTCTCTTTTGTGACAGAAAAGGTTCCGAAACTCTTAATATTGATAAAATACTATCATTCCGATATATTGCAGCTTACAATTCTACTAATTTCCAACCAGTTACGGTGAAGCATAAGAAATTTAATCCTCGGGAAAGTGAAAGTATAAAAATATTGAGAAGAAACTACACAGCATTTAACGCACATTAATAGTTGATCATTATGACTAAATCTCAGATGTGTAAGTATCAGTTACAAGTATCTTAATTTGAAAATCTATATAATTGCTATTGCTTTTCTACGAATATAAAAAATAAGAAACCATTAATCTTTGAAAATTAAGAATTGTGTCATGATTCATACTTACTGTTATTTTCATTTTTCTTTATCATTCACATCATCGTTGTATTCAATATAGATGCGTTTACCATACCCTATATAAAGAATCATTCAGGATAAGGAAAATATCGAAAAACCAGAGAGAACTTGCAATTAAACAAAAACAATTACCATGTACGGTGACCACTAAATATTTTATAACCCAATTTCCTTGATTATCCTAAATTTTGACGAAAATGGTAAAAACATAATTGACTTAACGGATGGTTAGAAGATCTTTTAGTCAATCAACCTTAATCATATCCAGTAATGCATTTCCATTAGTCAAAGGGCCTTCTACATAAAACTGCATTATTCGATGTGGTGTACCATCCGTGTTTATCACGTCTCGAAGACTTAATATTGTAGTAGGATCAATACAGGTTAATGGTGACCGTTAATGAGAATAATATAGATCAAACCCTTACCGGGCTCTAGGATTACGTAATCTTGAATTTGGAACTGGAATCCCATGTCCTTTTATTGGCGTGCCTAAAAACTTCTGGCACTAAATTTGACAATTAATAGCTGAGAAAATTCATACCAAATATCCAAACATTAAATACATATATGTTGAGACTGAAATTGACATCCGCCTAAAATGGCTAACTAATGATATTTCAGGGCTAATTTCAGCTTCAATCAACTGAAGTAACAACTTCAGTCACGACATATATAGTAATTACTTAAATTCAACATACTTCCTGATTGTTTCTAATTTTTTCCAATGATTCATTAAACACTTTGGTAGAACTTTTTGGACCAAATAGTTCCGATACAATGTAATATAATATTATGCCTTGTTTTAGAGAACAAGTCATTTAGTTAACATATATATATATACTGTATATTTAAGAAGAAAAAACAATGGTGCATGAAATTTTTATATAAAATTTACAAACCAAGAACACCAACTCCTATCACAATTACACTAATATTTGTCGTTGTCTTGGCAGCTTTTGCAACTAATTTGTTTTTCATATTAATAGTAAACTCCACAAAATAATAAACATAAAAAATATTTTATACCTTTTTGTCTGGTTGATAAATCACCCCATTCTTTAACTTTTTTTCGTTCGATTATATCTTTCGAACGTTGCACTTTTCTGAGATTTAAACTATTAGTTTGATATCGACGTTTACCATCTAAAGAAAGTTTATTAAAATAGTTTAAGGCTTTATATGAATGATTGCGTTTATTTAACAGAGAATTGGTAATGCGACAACGAACAGGTATAATGTCAAGCTGCTTTAAAGTTAGAATGGATGCAGTAAGATGGAATTTGCATTTAAAAAGTGAAGTATTTAGTGAAGAATTCACAAAACGTGTACGCTGATGCAATATTGTAGAAATCATTTTTGGTTCAAAAGATAATCTATCGTTATATATATATATATCTTTGATCTCAGTGATCACCCCCCAACGTCTGATTGGATGATGATCTTCACATCGCTGATTGGTCAAAATTAATCACGATCTTATTAATAAATTCGAAGATTTTTTGAAACTTCTAGTGATCATATCTCAATAACTGCTTGAATAAATTCGGTAAAAATTTTTTATCCCAATCCTATGGTTCTGTATAATTAAAAAAAAACGTTTATTGAATTTAATTTAATAATTATCAAGAAATCCTTGTTGAAATTTAAAAAAAACATCAAAATTGAACATGATCTTAATAAATTCGAAGGTATTTTGAATTTAGTTTAGTGTTTATCGAGAAATCCTTGCTGAAAGTTAAAAAAAAACTTAGAAAAACAAATAAAAATCTTTTTGAACTTTAAACAAAGATTTATCGACAACCAACTATCGGAATTCGATGAAAATTTCTTTATTTTAATTTTATAAGAATATAGAATTAAAATAAAAAAAAATAATTTAAGTTAGATATCAGGTTGTCAAAAAAATATTTATTAAAATTTAAAAAAAAAATTGAATGCAGTTTTTTTTATAGGCACCTAAACTTTGAATGAAGATTACTCAGTACTTCTTAATTAAATTTGATCAATTTTTTTATTTTCAAAGTTTAGGTACCTATAAAAAAAAACTGTGATCGAATTTTTTTTAAAATTTTAATGAATATTTTTAAACAACCTGATAACCAACTTTGATCAATTTTTTTATTTTAATTCTATAATTTCAAAATTAAAATAAAAAATTTTTATCGAATTCTAATGGTTAGTTGTTGAGAAATCTTTATTTAAAGTTTGAAGAAGGAAAATTTTATCTGACTTTAGTTTTTTTAGATTTTTATTTTTAACTTTTAGTAAGATTTCTCAATAACTATTGAACCAAATTTAATAAACATTTTTTTATTTTATTCTACAATTTTAAAGAAGTGAAATAAAAAATTTACTGAAAATATTGCTAGAAGTTTTCAAATTTATTAATAGAATAATTAATTAGTAGCAAAACTATAATTATTTAATTTGGATTATTTTATTTGAAGTAATCAATTTAAATTTTTAGCAAAGTTCTAATAATGACAATTTATATTAAAATAACAATAATATTTTTTAATGAATATTTGAACCAGATTTTCTATTTATAGGAAGCTTTAATATAATCATTATTAGAGCATTACTTAGATTTGATGTTATATTATGTCATTATTTGATTATGCTATAATAAAATTTTCTTAAATAAAAGTTTTATTAGATAATTGCTTTCTCTTTTATATTTTTTTTAATGTATTTGTTGCAATAATAAGGATAATATTTTTTTTTAACATATTTATCACAATTATAAAAAGGTTAATAATACTTTATATATTTTTATATTATTTTGTTTACTATTATATGAGTAAGCACTTTTGCTTGAACTTAATCAAAGTTGTCTGCCTAATATTCAGAATTGTAAATATACTAATAGTCATCTTGTAGTTAGTTTTATGTTTTAAATTTAATGTGAAAATTAGCTGTTAGATCTAAAGTTATAATACTTTTTTAAAACAGTATATTATATCAATACTACTTGATTTTAATAAAATTTTTGATATTGATGAGAACATCCAAGAAATTAATATGGTTTAAATAAAGATAATATAGATAATATACTTAATTTAATTTTAGATATGACAGAAGATGTTGGTTATATGTGAAAAACAGAAAATGATGTTAACTTTGTATTAAAAGAAATATTTGAAGCAAAAAAAATAAAGACTTTTTTATTTTCAGTAAATGAATATAAAGCATAGATCAAAAGCCTTGAAAAGGTGAAGTTAAGTTATATTCAACATGAGCACTAAAGCCAATAGGGCAGTAGTAAGAAAAAAAAACAATAGACAGAGTGATGATATTGTCATTATTATGGAACATATAAAAATGTTGCAGATGAAAATTTAAATAAAAAAACTATGAATTGCACAAAAAGAAACAAAAAAATATTATTATAAAAGTTCTATTTACATTACCTTTTCTATTAATTCATCTATTGTGTTTTTGCAATATTATTATAAGTATACAAACTACTATACTGGTCACTTATTAGATCTATATACATTATCACTTTCTGATAATATCTGAAATTTTAAAACAAATATGTTAGATTTTATTGTAAAAAGAAAAGATTATAAGATCTCAAGCTTTAAAAGACATTTAAAAGAGATTTGTATAAAAGCAGAGACATTGAAATAATTAAAAACAAAAAATTAGTAATAGTATTAAAGAATTATTAATAAAAAAACATAAGTGTATCAAGGAGAATAATGTCAAGCAGAAGGAGTTGATCTTTTATACAGATGGATCATTAATTAAAGCAAAAAAGAGAAATCAAGATCCAGATTATATGGAAGCTTGTTGGGTACAAATGAACAATAAAGAAGAGTATATAATAGATAAAAGTGCTATAGGAGTTAGAGGATGGCTATCTTCAACAAAGACAGAGCTGCTAGCTATCTGACATGTAATCACTATAGCACCAAACAAAAGCAAAATCAAAATATATACAAATAGTGCAACAGCTATAGCAAGTATATATAGTAATACATAACATATAATAACAAAAAAATGAATGAAAAGAAAAAATTATAACTTAGTAGAAAATATAGAAGGTACAATATGAGCAAAGGAATTAGATTTAGAGTTAGTAAAGGTAAAGGAACATAGTGACAATAGATGGAATAGCAAGACAGATAATATAGTAAAAAAAGAAGCAAATATATAAGATAGAAATGAAATTATAGAAGAACCAGTCTCAAGATCTAACGTAACACTTTTTTGAGAAGACAAAGTAGTAAAAAATCCAACATGAGACTTTGTTAAAGAAGTTCTTAATATCAAAAACAATGCAGATTGGAGCTGTATATTAGCAGTTAAAAAACTAGAACCAGATAGAAAAAAGAATAAATATTGTTGAATACTATTATGAAAAAAGATTAAGAATCAGAGTAGAACAAAATGCATCTCAACTGCAAGAAGTAAAAGACTAAGCACACTCTTTAAATATATATAAGAAAAAATACTCATACTTAAAGAATTAGTATTAAAATAACTAGACTTGTATACTGATACAAATTGTATAGTATTAACCTGTAGTTTTTTCTTTAACTACAGTAATATCAGAAGCTGCTCAACTATAGTATGATGACTATAACTTGACAG